AATGCATTGAATATCTTTAAATTACCTCTTTTCAACTCATTTAATATTAAGAACCCATTACCCTATTTGCCCTCATTTTTTATCATTAAATTTAAATATAGAGGGGTAAATATTATCCTCAGAAAATTCCAGAAATATTCTTAGGGTCATTATTACTTTTTAAAGTAGTATAGAGTAGCACTTATTGGCACTTGACAGTGCAAATTTTGCATCTAAAAAATTGATGCAAAATTTGCACCACCTTCTTCCTAGTTCCTACTTCAATTGTCTCGTATAAAATGGGGACCACATCATTTTGCTTCCTGTCATACTACTCCTAAACAAATAACCTTCTTCCTCTTGCAGATAAAGTGGAATACATCATTTTAATTCTCACAAACAAACAAGAAAGGCCAAATCTGAAGCAAAAGTAAACCAGAATTTAGACTGAACCCATTTGCATTCCCATGCACATGCATTTGAACAGCAAACAACCCGGAGCCTTGGGAGCAACCTAGTTCTAATATATGATAAAATCTTGGATAGAACTGTTTTTCGTGTGGTAACAGCAGAATCATTTCTCCATCTGTTCAGGAGGAGAACTGTACACATGGGGGAGGGGGGGGGGGACTCAGAAACATTAAGCAGATTTGGGTTAGCAGTTAGCACCATGAATTCCCAAATGTCTAATTCCCAAAATAAAATAATGATACCTTCCCACCATGATTAACCTATAAATGACATGAAACATGAATAAGCTTCACATAAAATGAAAAATAAAAAATAAAAATAACAAAAAACCTGGATAGTCTCTGTCATTGCATGGTATCTGACTCCATGCAACTATTATACCACCTTAAGTCCAAAAAATGTGCATAATAGTAAAATATGTAACAAGCTTTTGTCATAATTTTCAGTCTGGAAGGTCTTTACGATTCATTAGATATTATTCATGGAGACATGGATAGGGCTTCTGTGGACAAGCATTTTACATGTATAGTAATATAAATACGCTTTAAAGATTTTGGTGGATTTGAATCACCATCATCTTGAGAGTGGAGTACTAGATCCCACTTCATTTGCCAAAATGCTCTACCAATTTAAGTAAAATGACTGGGAAAATTACTCGCCAATAAGCAAAGGCATTCAAAAAAACCTGCACACTGAGATGAAATAAAATGTTGAACCAAGAACAGAACATGAGGACATAAAGACATGTGGCTTTATTCCAATACCAAGCACAGGTCATAATAGATTTGTGCTAAATATAAATTTGAGCAAGTGTTATCATCAAAAGATGCAAGGCAATCTGTGAGGTTTGAGTTGTGTCGATTTACAAATTAATGTTGTCAAATGCCGAAGTCACACACATTAATGCTTACACCAATTTGGTTAGAAAAAATATGTTCCTAACCATCAATGAAGATATAAGAAGGTCTAGTTGTCAGTTTGTCTACACAATAAAACCATGAACATGATTTATGAAGGTGCCAGGAATAAAGCAGTAAGATGGAAGGAAATAAAGGTAAGTCAAGGGAACTGAGTGGGTTGCAGGTTTAAGAACATAATGATGGTCCTTGGATATCAAATAGTAAAATGAGGTTGAGAAATGATAATAAGTTATGCATAAAGTATCCTTGTACATACAAATACGGAACTCTACAGTTAAGCTGGAATTGTATATCTGAGACAAATGTTCAAATTACGTCCCAGAAGCATTTTTCTTGTTTTTCTCCATATTCTTCTTCATTGTTCCTTTAACACTTTTTGGTGGTTTATATTCCTTCAGGTCATTCAGATTTACTTCTCTCATCTTATTTGTTTGCTTAACCACCTTTGTGATTGATGGATCCAACACATTACTTGAGCACTGAAGAATGACACCCTTCTCTAGTGCCTCATCCCATAGCTGTCTACCCTTTTCAAACTCTCCCAAGCTACAAAGCTTGGGTATCAACAGATCATATACTGGACCATAATCACCCACAGAGTTTTTCTTCATTCGCTCAAATAGATTGAGAGCATGATTAACCCTCTCAACTCCACAGAGGACACCAATTAAATCATAGTAAAGCCTTGGTTCTGGCATCAGCCCCTCCTCAATCATTTCATCCACAATCAAGTTCCCTCTACCAAATCTCCCTGTCAAATAAAGAACTCGCACCACAAGATAATAGCTCATCCAATCAGGGGGACAACCTGATTTCTTCATTGAGTAGAGGATCCGATGAGCTTCTTTTACTCTTCTTGTCCTGCCCAAACAAGAGAGCAAAATATTGAAGCTAATTGAGTTCGGTGGAACCCCATTAGACCTCATTTCCATCATCAAGTTGGAAGCTTCAGGAACAAGTGCTGAAGGATTGAATTTAAGGTTTCTCTCGCAAAGACACCTAAGGAGTGTATTATAACAGAACAGATCCGGAAGAACTCCTAATAACCTCATATTGATGAGAATTCTACGAGCTTCTTTCACATTTCCATGGATGCACCACCCATGAAGAAGATTTTTGTAAATACAAGACTCTATGCCAATAATCTTACTTTTATGGTGCCAAACAACCCCTTCAGCCTTCCTGGCATGTCCTTTGGCACAAAGGGCATTAACAATGGAATTTACGGTGACTTTATCTCGTGTGCACTTGAATTTCTCCAAGTTCTTGAAAAGCCCTAAGGCTTCATCTTCTCTCCCCAGTTTTACGAAGGTTTCGGCAACAAGGCTAAAAGTTTCCGTATCCATCTTCCGACACTCCTTTCGTAGCTCTGAAATCAATAAATTCATTGCTATAAGGTCTCTCTTTTCAGCAACCACCCGTATTGCATGGTTAAAAGCCTCGTCCTCCAAATTACACCTCAGGTTCTTCTGAGACCAGGAGAAAAATCTAAATAACCTTCTGCTAGGTGCTTCTTTTTTGCAGGAATCTATGATCTGTGTCACAAGGCCCGAACTGATCGGAACAGCCAACTTATCAAGACTCGCTTCCAAGTCATCTAGACTGCCAATGCCATTGGAAACAATGTTGCATATCTTGTGCAAATGTGGAGCTAGGGAAGGTGGCTCTATGGAAAAGTATGAGAATAGGAAATACTGAAACCGAAGAGCATGGACCGTTGGCGGTAGGGAACTGACCAAGTTTAATTTCAGTCGCAAAAGCATCTTCTTTGAGGATATCTGTCGAACAGGTGAGGGGAGGTATTTCGAAATATTTAAATCTCGGCCCCCTTGGGTTATTGTTCTTCATTATAATTGCTTGCGCTAATTCTTCTCTTCATGCATGCTCCCAGTTTCGCTATTCCGGTATTCCCTCTTCTCTCTAGTTGTGTAAAGTATTGACATAAAACTGCCGCTCTGAGTTCTGGTTACTTGGTATCGTTTCGCAGTCACCTCAGCCCGTTCCTTTTGGTTATAGGCGAGTTCACATCTACCCCACAGAACGCGCCCCCAAAACGACGGAACTTTAAACTGAAAACGTTGGTGCACGATTCGGAATTCGAGATTTGTCTTCGTGCCTTCATGGGACAGGCGTGGCCGCGTGGGTAGTTGAGCTCGAGCTGGCCAACAAATAAAAATTTAAGGGAAAATTTTAACGAATGTTAAGCATTATATAGAAGGACAAAAATGCCCTTCATCTATCATCTAATTTTCTTATGATTGATATCTGATCTTTAACTAATAATCACCTCCAAAATCGATTCTTGATTCATCTCCCCACGCAGGTCCTCCAATTTCCCGGCAATAATCTCCGATATGCCTCTCAAATTATTCGATCAAATCCCCCACTGTGAAAACCAATTCCTTTGGACGTCCATCATCCGTTCCCATGCTCTCAATGCTCAATTTAACCAATCCATCTCCCTCTATGCTAGAATGCACCGAATAAACATCCTGCCCACTGTATTCACCTTCTCCTCGGTGCTCAACGTTTGCGCGCGCATTCGGGCAGTTCAAGTAGGCAAACTAGAATGCACCGGATGGACATCCCGCCCATTGTATTCACCTTCTCCCCGGTGCTCAACGCTTGCACACGCATTCAGGCAATCCAAGAAGGCAAACAGACACACACTCCAATTGTCGAGTCCGACCATTTCGGAAATAAAGTTGTGCAGACTGCTTTTCTCGATATGTATGCAAAATGCAGGGCTGCAGAAGATGCTAGACGTGTTTTAAATCAAATGGCCAAAAGAGATGTCGTCACTTGGACGGCCATGATTTCCGGGTACTCCAAGACCGGTAGGATGGACGATGCACGTCAGCTGTTCGATGTCATGTTAGAACGCAACGTCATTTCTTGGATAGCTATGGTGGCGGGGTATGCAAATGTAGGCAATGTGGAAGCTGCGAAAGAACTGTTTGATCAAATGCCAGAAAAGAACTCCGTGACATGGACAGCCATGATTGTTGGTTATGGAAAACGAGTGGACGTGACTGAAGCCAAGCAAGTATTTGATGAGATACCGGCATGCAATTCGGCGTGTTGGGGGTATTCTAACGAAGCAATTGATATGTATAAGAAGATGAGAGAAGCAAATGTAAAGGAGAGCGAGGGTTGCCATGGTTGGAGTAATCTCTGCTTGCACACAACTTGGTGATCTAGATACGGCAAATGCAGTGGCCGATCACATGGAAGAAGGCGTCTGTGGTAAGTTCTTCCGTTAGTACTTATACATTTTTTTCTGGGCTAAGGGAGATCGGAGAGTGGGCCTGTGAGGTACTTCATATTTATATATATTTTATTTTGGCATGCCATGGTTATTCTTATTTCAATCAAGGTTGGAGTATCTTTTCAGAAGAGCTAACCCAGATGGGTCTGACCCAAGAACTCGACTTATGCATGAACCTTGCTGGGAGGAGCAAAAGAAAGAAATGAGTTGGGATTGGACCACCCCACTGCAGTTTAACTTCTTCCGGTACTGGTGTGGATGTGCATTGATCCCAAATGGGTACTGGGGTGCCGCTGTTCCCCCTCCCTCCCTCCTGTTCTGGTTAGAGTTGTCGTCATTTCCCCCTCCCTCCTTCCCGCCCTGGTTAGAGGTTGGCCTACCATTTAAAGGTTAAAAGGTAGAAGACAATGAATGGTGTTTTCAACTCTTCATTAGTTCAGAATTTTAAACATTTCAATGGTTCAGTCTTAAGGTAGAAGACAATGAACAGTATTCTTTTGAAGGACAGTTTTGATATTTTCAAAAATTTTAAGTTGCATATGTGATCATATAACCAACTTGACACTTTTTGAAAGTTTTGATAATTAGTGTACTTGAGACTATCCCCAAAGTTTATGGTACTAAAATGGAATTTTCTCAAAATTTAATAATGGATTCAACTATGATATGGGAAAGACACGATACATAAAACTTACAGCCATTCAATCTTTACCATAAAGGGGGTGACCAATTAGGTGATATTTATCAAAATTCACTAAGTGCTTTGATTGGTCAAAGCTTTTTCGGTATCATAGATTTTTATTTTATATTATAGGAAAATTTATGCTGTCAGAAAGACATGATCGAAATGGCTTTGACCAATCAAAACTCTCATGTGAAATTTGATAAATATCACCTGATTGGATATCATTTTTATGAATCAAAATCCATGCTTATATTATATAAGCATTTTAAAACTGACACATATTTAATATGTATGTATGTATAATGCTTTTTGTGGCTTTTTCATGGCATGATAGGCTAAAGCCCGGCCCAACCATGGGTGAAAGCTTGTGGTTTTACATCTTAGCTGTTTAATTAGGTCACCAATCCAAATTGAAATTGGTGGTTTGGTCTGGTCTGACTTTAAAAAGAGGTCTGGTTTGGTCTGAGAACTATAATTTTCTGGTTCAATTTGATTTTTGAATTTCAGGAACCAAATCACAACAGAAACCGAAATATTAATATTTACAACATAAATATTCATTTAACATTCAGTCATAGCATATAACTCTTAACTATATAAATATTTGATACATTGTTGTTGTTTATTTCAAATTTTTAACTTGTAATTCGATGGCCTATGTTCGAAAACTTGTGAATATAATTTACACGTGGCATTGTTGTTATTTATTATTTATGCAATTTGAACTTTCTAATTGGGTTAAACCCAAATAGAATGATCCAAACTGTATTAGAATCCCAACCAAACCATAATAAAATGGTTAATATTAAAACATCAACCGATGGTCTTTGGGCTTTTTTATTTAAAAGTGCATTTTTTTTATTGCACGACATTTATTACAAATAAGTTGATTATGTAATTTGTTAAAATGCATACTTATACTAATTATTAATTATTGCAAGGTTTTTAGTTGGATTATTAATTTTGCATAAACAGCGACTATTTTGTTTTAAGATCATCCCAGGCAAAATTGATAACATTCTATCTACAACCATGAACATGTCAATGTCAAGCCATGAACAATGAAATAAAACATAAGCTTGTATATTTTTTGTCAGCAAAATCAAAAATAAAAAATTATCATTAAATAAGATTCTTGAAAGTATTTACACCCAGACCTTGAGTAGGTAGTTGATAGTGCAAATCTATTCCCTCCTTACAGACTTCATAAGCTAGCCTATGACCATGTGTAGTAGGGACCCCTACTTGCTAATTCCACTTAAGGCTGCAACTTGGGCCGGGTTGGCCCGAACCTAACCCAAAAAAATTGGGTTGGGTTGGGTCGGTTTGATGTTCGGGTTAGGGTTAGGGTTGAAATTCATGAACCTGACTTTATTTCAAGTTGGGTTAGGGTTGACCTCTTAGCCAACCCGACCCAACTCGAATCCAACTCTATAGTACATGTCATATATAAATATATGTTATATCTAATATATAACATACATTGATTTGTTTATATGCATGATATTTGTATGACTCCCACCACATAGTATCATGTATTTCTTTTAAGATAATCACTTCACTTAATTGTAATCAGAAAGACTAAAACCTTAATAATATTATTTTATGTTTTTTTGAAAATTTTATTCTTCATCTCCTCTATGTTGTTTGCCATCTAAGAAAGATCTATCATAAGCCATAACTCATAATAAACTATGGTTATTTCTAACACTTGTTTTTCTAAATTGTGTACCAAAAAAAAAAACGTCAACAAACAAATACTAATGAAACATATGATTAATATATGTAGTGAAAGTTGAGTTAAGATCTAAAATCGAAAAATTTATAAGGTTTTAAGGGATGGGAAGAAGGTTGGGTTGGGCCCAACCCAACCCGAAATTGACTTCGGTTTGGGTTGGGTTGGGTTAAAGTTGAAGGAATTTAGTTAGGATTAGGGTTAGGGTTGGGTTAGCCGGATTGGGTTAGGGTTAGGGATGAACTCAACCCGACCTAACTTGGCCCAACTTGCAGCCCTAATCCACTAGACTGAAATTGTTAACGACTGGATTCAGGTAAGAGGAAGGCTGGTATCTGTGACTCCTGCTTCCTTCATATTCACTGTTTGATACAATGTCATTTAGATCTCCACCAATCACTCATTTAGCATGTAGAAGAAAATCAATGTCCAATAATGAGGAGCATAATTCTTTCCTCCTTGAGAAAATTGGGTGACCATATGTCAAACAAAGGAACCGTCAACCATGGTTCAAAATGTGAGTGTATTTGACACATTATCACTCGATAAATGGCATGTAAAATCTGAAGTGTTAAGTAAAAGGCAACAACAAAGTAATATATTAGATTGCTCTCTTGCTTGGTGTGAAGCAAAGTTATGATGCCAAATGAACACTTTTTTGTTTTAGATAATTTTGTTTGTTTCAAAGGGGGAACAAGTTCTAGGTTATGGGACTTGCAGATTTTCTTCAAATACCACACATTGTTGTGGTTATTACAACTCTATACATTGAGGTTTAAACCCCCATAATGATAGATTATAGGGGCCGTTTGGCAAGTCTTTTTTTGAAAGATCTTCTGGAAGCTCTAACAATCAAAAGACGATGTAAACTTTTGCATCAAGATCTTAGTAGCTTGAAGACCTTTTAATTAAGGTGTGTCTTTCCACACGAATACGAGTTGAAAAAAAAGGCGAAAATCTCTATTTGGAGCTTCCCAAAAATAGCCCGAAATGGGCTTCTCATGTCTTTCTGGGGTTGTGGCTTTAGGTGACTGAATCTTTTCCCAATCAAATGGGAAAAGACCAAAACACAGGCTGTTGTGCTTCTAAAAAACCAACAGCCCATGCGAAAAGGCATGCCAAACGGGGCCATATGTCTTCTTGTGATGATGTGATTCTCTAAATAAAACCCTAAGACTGTGTTTGGTTGCAATGCAAATGAATTTACACTGATGCAAAATTATGCTAATGCAAATGATGTCAGTGTAAATTCTGACCTATTTTTGTTTTAAAATTAAGCTTATTTTGTTTGATTGCAATACAGATTAAGTAAATTAAGACATGAAGCAGAATAAAGTAAAACCCAAAACAAAATTAAACGAGAATTTGCATTTTTTTTCATTTGCACTCCCATGCATTTGTGCTAGCGCAAATAAAATTCCACTACAACCAAATGCAGCCTTAGGCTCAGTTTGGAACGAATACAAATACAAATATGTAGAGTGCAAAATCTTATATTTTATATGTATTTATACTCTGTATATATGATCAGATACAAGCTGATGGTTGAAGACATGATGGTCACCGGATTGCAGGTAGGTTGTAGGATATAGGGTGCCTTCTTTTTTAACCCGTATAGATAAAAATATCTATAGAGAACATGCCCTGAATTCGCCTCTTAACTTAAAATAGAAGGCTTCTAACCTTGGACGGTAACACAAGCCTACATTTGGTTGCATAGAAAACGAAAGAATTAAATGAATGGTTTTATAGAACTTGGGCATTTACAAATCAATGGTAATGATTCCAATCCAAGTTCATAGGTCCAAAATGTATAAATTCAACTTAGCTGCTAGTATTTAGCAATAAGGCAACCTTATATTCTTATCAAATACCAAAAGTGAAAATAGGACAAGTTTGTGCTTCTAAAAAAACGCTTAAAATCTGTTTGGTAAGGTGATTTTTCTAATAAAAAACACTTATTTGACAACATTACTTAGTTCAAAATGGGCTTTTGTCAATATAAAAACAATATTACCCTCCATTGTGTATAAATGCCATTTTTATCACAAAAACCACGTTGGAGGCCTTTGATTCAAAGCAAACAACAATAAAAGAAAAAAAAAATATATAAGGGGTGAAATGGAGTGGTGGAAATCAATATTCGATCAATTTTTTAGGAAAAAGACAAGAAAAAAATGGATGAAAATTGACCCTGGTTGTAACTTGTCGCCACTACAAGTGATGAGAAGTGCAAATGGAAAGGAAAAAGTGAGGAAGAAGATGGGATGGGGGTTTTAGAGTAAACGGAATCATTTTGAGTATTAAAAGGTTTAAATGGTAAACCTAGGATGAAAAATAAGAAGTGATTCTTGAAAACTCAAGAAGCCAGAAGTTGCCATCAACTTTTTTTTTTAATGGGCTTTTTTTTTGGTGGAAAAAACCTACTTATTGCTTTTTCACCAAACTCTTTTTTAGAGTTGTTGTTGCCAAGGATGGGGCCGAGGGCAACGAGGTAACTTCGCTTCT